AGTACATATCACAGAAAGTTATTAGGAACCTGCAGTTCTGTCATTACAATAGGCTTTGTTCTGATGGCCTGATTGTCTAATCATTTTCTAGAATCTTACATAATTCTGCTTCTGGATGGATGAGACAGCTGAAGAAGAGATGATTGGAAATGAAAAGAGAGCAAAATGTTTTTCAACTTTCTGGATGAAACAGATTGTTAACAAAACTCTTGTCAGTGGCAACAATTATCCAGGGCTTTCTTTTCCTCCCTTCTTTACAAAAAAAATTTCTTAAATGGATGTTTTGGTAAGACTTGTAGGTCTTCCGTGTTTGTGTGTGTGTGTGTGTCTGAAAATCCTAGTGATTTTACTCAGCATTTTATTGAGTTAGCTTTCCCTTTTGGCCATCTTTATGAAAAACATCTACTGTCTCACTACTTTATCCTTTGTAGAAATGACAGTATCTTAAGGATATTATCAAGTGTCAAGAAAACCTGGAGAATGCTTTTAAGTATGCAACAAGATGACACATTTATCCAGCAAGACTCAGCAATTTGGATAGATAGGAACAGATGGATCTTATATCTGTTCAGAGTAAATAGTATTATCTGACTAGTGTTCAATGTCATGTTTCATTCTTTCTCATTTAGTACACATAAATGGGGCTATTGGTGATTCCTTTTGGTCAGCAACTATCTACATGGTATCACAGTTCCTGGAAGAATAGTTTTAAAATGAGAGATGACACTTGACATTGTTATAGTGAAAGAGTTTTCAATTGGCACCAGCCAGAGGAAGGCATAGATTTTGTATGCTCTGTAATACATTAAACAGTTCCAAACAATAATAAATTATCCCATGTGCTAACAGACATTCAAGAGAGTGAAAAACTTTTATCTGAGCCTTCAAATTTCATTTTGCATATCAACACAAAGCATCTCTTACAAAGTTTTAATATTCCTTGTTCTTCAACATAAATACTGTGTAATTTAGAGAAAATGCTAATTGTTTTCTCATCTTTGGAAGTTTGCTCACTATCTTGGCAAAAATCAGACTTATTTGAACAATACCACTCATGGATTCTATAATCTTCAAAACAACTTATATCTGTTTCAATCAAGTATCCAACTTAATTGTATATTCTAGTACATCAAGTCTCAAGTATTTATGTGTTGAGGTGCTGGCATTATGACATATCAGATAAAGCCGCCACCTGTGATGCTGACATCCCATATGGGTGCTGGTTCTCGTTGCAACTGTTTGATTTCAAATCCAGCTCCCTGCTAATGGCCCAGGAAAAGCAGTGAAACATGACCCAGGTGTTTGGGCCCCTGCCACCCATACAGGAAACCTGGATGAAGCTCCTGGCTTTGGCCTGGCCATTGTGGCCATCTAGGTAGTGAACTGGTAGATGGAAAATTCATTCTCTCATTCTCTCATTCTCTCCACACCTCCCTCTCTCATACCTCCTTCCCTCCATCTGTCCATCTCTCTGTGTAACTCTGTGTTTGAAATAAGTAAATATTTTTATAAGTATTTGTGTTGAAATATATAGTTTTATTCGTTATGTTGTTTGCATTTCTTTGCATTACAGTTAAAGAATTACAGTGATTATACTGTTTTTTTCCTTTGAAATTATGTGGGTAAGTTAGCAATTAACAAATTATTTCAGTATAGAATGACATATTTTGGGATTTATGAATCAAATGGTCTATGTTGTAGGTACTCCACTTTGCAATTGGACTGAGAAACCGGCCATGAACAGTATGTGAGGAAATGGGTGTGGCTATATGCCAACAAGAGTTTACTTATGAACATTGGAATTTGAATTTAATGTAACTTTTCTTTGTCACAAATGCCGTTCTTTTTGCCTTTTAAAAATAATTTAAAGCTATTGTTGACTTTTGGGCAGTACAAAAGCAGGCTGTGGGTTATATTTGACTAATTGGTATTAGTCTGCCAATTTCTGTTCTAATATGTCATGCTCAAGCATTTACACAATGAAGTATGTATTATAAATTATATTTCTTTTTTTTATACACTGGAACTTCAAAATTGCATAGAAAATAGAATTGAAAGATCATTTCTGCTTGCAAAAACCATTTTGAAATCCATGTAGTTTAATTTTAAAACACAATTTCATGAAATTTTGAAGATTCTCCTTATACTGAATTTCAAAAAAGAATTTGTATCAAAATGTTAAGATACTTCATTTTTAAAATTTTTTTAAGATTTATTTATTTTATTTGGAAGAGTTACACAGAGAGAGGAGAGGCAGAGAGAGAGAGAGAGAGGTCTTCCATCCGCTGTTCACTCCCCAATTGGCCACAATGGCAGGAGCTACGCCGATCTGAAGCCAGGAGCCAGGAGCTTCCTCCAGGTCTCCCATGCAGGTGCAGGGTCCCAAGGACTTGAGCCAACTTCTTCTGCTATCCCAGGCCATAGCAGAGAGCTGGATCAGAAGTGGAGCATCTGGGTCTCTAACAGGTGCCCATATGGGATGCCGGCGCTTCAGGCCAGGGCGTTAACCTGCTGTCCCACTGTGCCAGCCCCAAGACTTCATTTTTTAATGAAAATTTTGAAATGCCTTAATGTCATAGTTAGAGTACTATGTTGAGTTTTTGAAATGCATATAAATAGCGTAAAGACAAATTTTTCAATACCAATGCAAAATTAAAACTTTGCGTGCTGAGAACGTGGCTTCACCAGAAACTGGCTCTCAGAACAAAGAAGATAAATTTATTGTTTAAATCATCTAATAACCGGCAATAATCCTGTTTGTATAAAACTTGGTGGGTTTTGGTCAAACTCAGAAGCTCCTATCTATGAGAAGGAAAGTCAGTACTGTCTCATCTCAGATACAGAACTGTTAGGTAATGTTCCCAGTTCAAGTTTTGTTTCCAAACTTGGAACTTGTTTGATGACATCAAGAGTCCGGCAGAAGTCTTATATCAAACTGTTTTCCACTTATGGGTAGGTTGTACTGTCGAAGAATTTTATTTCACTGGAGCATAATGTGCACTGCCAATTATTCATTTTAGGAATGACATTAGGTGTGAGTGCATTGGGTAATACCTGTTCTAATGGATTTCTGTGCTTTGGGACTCCCATCTTATCCTTGATGACCCTCCAGTGAGTTGGGAAGGTGTAGGGGAGGTGAATCATGCAGTGCCAAGGTCCAGAAGGAGAATCAGAACCTAGGGAAATGTCCTATTTCCACCAACTTTGTACAATTTGCAGCCATGTAACTCTTGATCTGGTTTCTCAGTTTGCTCAAGCGTGAAGGCCTCCTTGCTAATGCCAAATGTCCTATATTCACATGATGCTACAAGTTTCCAGAGTCTCTACTCAACCTTGCACTTGGCTGTGTGGTTGGAAAGAACGTGTCCAACATTTGCTTTGAGGTCACTTTGGCTGCTGCTTAAGAGCAGGTGCACTGGCTTTCAACTCAGCTGTCTTCAGGATCTTACTTATGGTCTGCAGAAGTATCTGAAATTCTACATCCCATGGGAAGTCAGAGTACCAAGAAATGTACTGTACTTTGAGGCATCCATGTCCCAGCTTTTTGTGCTAGACAGCTTGAAAAGTTGTGTCTCTCCAATCTTCATAGATTCTTCATCCCACATCAATTTGCTTATAAAGTTCCCCAATCCCTCCATCAGTCCTAGAAGAAGGCTTCTCTTTTACTCATCCTATGTCGCAAACTCTTCTTTAGCTGCAGAGCTACAAGCTACATGAGAAAAAAATGCATCTTCTCTGCCACAGAGTGCTGACCAGTACAAGTTCATTCAAAAGCTAAAGGAATTTTGCAAATCGTCTCTCTGCAAGACACCTTGTTTCCAAACCTATTTTCTCTTTCCTTCTCTCTAACACAGAATGATGAATCTCTGGACTAGGACACTGAGGACAGGGGCTGAAAAGAAAGTTAGGAGTTAAAGTAATTAAAGAGAAGATTTAAAATTTGCTATATACTAGCCAAAAAACAAGTGAAACCTATATATTATTTTCCTTCTGGTGTAACTGAAAACTGAAATATGAGTGTAGTTTAATGAAGGGCTAAATAGAGGTTGATGCATTGTCTATACTTTGGGTCATACTGGTAGGATAATGGAATTGCTGTGATTCACCTGTGAGCTGTCATAAATTCAAGCATTACTTTGAGGTCATGCCAATGTGATCTCACAGATCTGTAGGATATCTTCCAAGATCATGAGTCCTGTACCCTTTCTTCCTATCATATCAAAAGCACCCATCAGGATGGCTTTTGACCTAGCAGTTGCATCAGAGTAGCTTTGTTCCATGCCAAACTTCCACTTGTAACTCTAGAAGCCTGCTAATTCTGACTTGCGGAGCACCAGGTGTTGAGTGAAGTAATTGGCCTCCTGGCACCAACATGGAGACCAAGACTGAGTTGCCAGATCCCAGCTTTGGTCCTGGCCATAGTGGGTATTGTGGGATTGAACTGGAGGGTGGAATTGATCTCCCTCTGTCAAATAAAGTGAATCTTAAATCCATCCCATAACAGCTACTTATTGTTTCTGTTTTCCTGGGACCTGAGAAAAGCTGGCTGATTATATCACTCGGTGTTTTTGCTTGGCTATTTTGGAAAACATTTAGCCTCTCCAAACACAAGAGTTTCATACACAAAGAGAGCTCTTGTGGCTTCTCTGTGGAGTCTGCTGCCTCTGTTCAAATCCACTGGGGTGTGTGTGTGTGTGTGTGTCTGTGTGTGTGTGTCTGTGTCTGCATAGGGGTTCAGCGAGAAGAGGACTGTCAGCAGAGGTCTTAAATACATAATTACTGTTTCTTTAAATATCTAATACATTTTATAAAAATATGTGACAATATGTTTATATACTAATGATATCTTTGAAAAAGGAAGAGAGGAAAGGTTGTGGTATAGCATGCCTTTTGGGTAGAAGGAAGATATTTTATGCATATGCAACCTTTTTGCTTGGTCAGCCCATATATAAGACTTGTGGACTATCGTCTTAATCATTTTGTTTCTTTTGTCTCTTTAGCTCAACAGAATTCACCAAAAATCCATGAGGGCTGGTGGGCATACAAGGAAGTGGTCCAGGGAAGCTTTGTTCCAGGTAAATAGACATTTGTCCTCGTTATTTTATGCTTAAAGAATTTGAATGGAAGATAATATTATTTCCAGAATTTCACATTTGCACATGGACTGAATGTATTACAAAAACCAACATAGTCCTTCAAGAGAGGGTTTATTGAGTGGCAACTTAACCAGGACTCAATATTTGTTTTCGTATTCTGAGCCTACAATCCCAAGGACCTTCCATTTATAGGAATCTCTGTAGGAGAAGGAGATGGTGGTTTGAGAGTTAAAGCTCTGTCTGATGCCATTTGGTTATGTAAGAAAGGGCCATTTATCAACATTAAAGAAATAGGAAAAACTGACGATGGCAATGAAGCTCACTGGGATGCATGTTGTCACCAGTGTGACTTCAGTAGCTTCCATAGTTGGGACTTAGATTGGGCCAAAGAACCAGCTAAAAATAGAGACGTTCAAGCATGGGCTCTGAGGTCAGACAGACCCGGCCTTGAGTGTGGGACGATGGTTTCTTGTTGGATGGACTCTCAGCAAATTACTTGCTCACTTTCAGCCCCCTCGTTTCTTCTCCTGAAAAGTGGAGGAAAGAATCAGATCAGTAACATTGCATCATGGTGCAGAGGTTAAGATGCCCACATCCCATGTTGGAGTACCTGGAGTCCCAACTCTGCTTCTGAGTCCAGTTTGCTGCTAACATGCGCTCTGAGACAACAGTGATGGCTCAAGTACTTGGGTCCCTGCCACTCATGTGGGAGGCTTAAATTGAGTTCTGGGCCCCTGGCTTTGGCCTAGCCCAGCCACAGCTGTTGTGGGCATTAGGGGAATGAACCAGCAGATGGAAGATCTGTGTGTGTGTGTGTGTGTGTGTGTGTGCGCGCCTGCCTGCCTTCCAAATTTCAAAAGTAAATAAACTTTTTAAAAAAATAAAATAAGCATCATGCAGTTTTGTGAGGATTAAATTATATAATGGTGGCAAAGTGCTTATTTTGTGATGTCTGGAGATTTATCAGTAAGTATGTATCACTTGTTCTATGAATATTATTCTACCAATGAATTAGGTATGTGATGCATGTCTGCTTGAGAAGAGGTAAAAAATAAAAACTGGAAAGTTCAATAATGCTAATGAAGGTCTCTGATGCCTGAAACATGGAGACTGCTAAGAGAATATTCCATAAACTTCTGAGGTCCAGGTCTCTACGCAGTGGGCAACTGAGAAATGGCTTCATCATCCTCTGAATTTAACAGTCCTCAACCCTTTGGGCTTTCTTGTGAGGAGGAATGGGATCTGATGATTTTACCCCCTAAACTTTGGGGAACTCTAACTGGTGAAAAGTAGAAGGGTCATGAGAATTTGTGAATTAAACAATTGAACCCGAAGCTTTCACATCTGACAGACTTCAGATGATCTACATTATCTGAGCTGGTGCTTGGGGCAAAGAAACCTTTCCGCTTCATTATCATTACTTGTAAATAAGGTTAACAATGTTCTTCAGTTTGCTATGAGATAGATTTCTGGTTATGGATATGTGAAACAGGAGAGCATTTCATGTGACTAAACTACTTGAATAAGCTTTATTGTATCAAGTTTTTTACTGAAGTGTCTAGAAATAATGGTCAGTTGTCATAACAGTTGTGAGTTGATGACTTCAAAGCTTGTAGTGAGTGGAAATAGGAAAGTACTTCCAAAGTTTGTGGAAAAAGGTGGGATTGAGAAGATGTGTTTATTTTGGTACAAAAAGTTTAAGAATTTTTGCATAATTTTTTCATAATGTGCATAAACTTTCTGATGTACCCTGTATATGAACCCTATAGCAATGTCAGTTACTTTGTTAATTTGCTATCAGAATATCCAACTTTGGTCAGTTCATACAACCAGTGCAGAGCTCCATATTTGAGCCTATTAGTAAAGACGTAGCTGATACATAAGTATTGTTCAAGGGCAAAACACAGTCTAAGGGGGACGACACATCATGACTCAGGGTCACAAAGAGCTTCAATGTGCTAAATACAACAGATGAAGGAGGCAGTTACATACTGTATATTATTCTGCCTGCCAGGGTTTCACAGGCCTTGTTTACCTACTCAACTTCATATTTCATCTGACCCAATTCACAGGCAAGGTCTGCCTTGGCAAAGTCCAGATTTTGTTGACATGTTCACCCTCCACACAGCCATGAGCTCAGGAAAGGAGCCCGTTCCCAGATCTGGGATGTTACTCTTGGTAATATTTACACCAATCATGATGATTCCAGTCTTTCTTGCTAGGGATTGGTTTTAGACACGGTGACCAATTTTATGTCAATTTTACTGGGCCATGGTATCTAGACATTTGGCCAAACACATCTGGATTATGCTGTGAAGATAATTTTTAAAGATTTATTTATTATTTGAAAGGCAGAGTTACAGAGAAGCAGAGAGGGGGGGCGGGGAGAGAGGGAAAGAGTAAAAGAGAGGGAGAAAGAGAGCTCTTCCATACACTGGTTCACTCCCCAAATGGCCGCAACAGCTGGAGCTGGGCATGCCTGAAGCCAGGATCCAGGACTTCTTCTGGGTCTCCCATGGGTACAGTAGCCCAAGCATTTGGGCCATCTTCTACTGCTTCCCCAGGCTGCAACAGAAAGCTGAATTGGAAGTGGGGCAGCTGGGACTCGAACCGGCACCCCTATGGCATGCCAGCACCATAGGCAGAGGCTTTACCTGCTAAACCACAGTGCTGGTCCCCATTGTGGAGATATTTTTAAGATGAGATTAGCAATTATGTCAGCAGACTTTGAGTAAAGCAGATGACTTTTGGTAGCATGTGTGTGCACCTCATCCAATCAGTTGAAGGCTTCGGGAGAAAAAGACTGCAGTCTGAGGAAGGGGGAATTCTGCCTCTAGGAGCCTTTGGTTTAAGATACAATATCAACTCCTCCCTAGACTTCCACTCTGCCCCCTGTACTGTAGATTTTGAATTTGACATCTTCTGCAATTATGCGTGCCAATTCCTTACACTGAATTTCTCTGAGTTCCTCCACTTTGTTGGTTCCATTTCTTGGAAGACTCTTACTAATACACTAATGTGAATTTGTCCATGTGATAGGCAGTTCTATCCATGGTATACAGAAGGAAGTCTGCAGAGTAAACTTGAGGACAAAAGCTACTCTAAAGAGGGTTGAATGGAAAGTTGGAAACAGTCCCTATTTTAGATGGGCCATTTGAGAGCGTAACCAAAGAACCACCTCATCACTGATTTTGTTAAGGGAAATAACAAGTCTCTTGTTGGAGCCACTTTGAGTAAGACTTTCTGTTACCTGCAGCCCAAAGCATTTTTCCAGAAGCAGGTGTCTCAGTGCTGGGCTGAAAGAATGTAGGAAGCTAGAACTGGATCTTGGCAGTGTTAAGGATCACTCAAAATGGAGCAGGGAGAGCACATGAGGAATATCATTGGAACAAGCAAAGGAGGCAACCGTGCACAGTGGCTTTGTGGGGTGGAGATACTTCTGAGTGCCTAATGAGAGGAGCACAGGGTAGAGTATAATGAACAAGGAGGCCGGCAAGGTTGGGAGGGACCAGATTATGCAACTCTTTATTCTCTGTGTTCAATAGTTGAGACACAATCCCTTTAGAGATAAAGGAATTGTAAGACATTTGTAATACAAATGTGTGTTGCATAGAGCCAGCTATGTCTACAGTGGTGGAAATGTACTGTATTCCAAGGAGAATATGTGAGACAGAAGAATCAATGAAGTATTTTTTGATTATCCAAGCAGGAGATGGAATGCATCTAAACTAAAACTATAAAACCAAAAATAGCAGATTAATCATGTGATTGAAGGGTTGGCATGGATTTCTTGAGTAACATTTGGAGTTTATATGCCCTATATTTTTTAAAGTATATATATATATATATACATATATATATATATAAAACACATGTACATAACACATTTATAGTTTAGCATAAGTACATACACATATTTAGCACGTCTCAGGAAAATTTGTGCCAAACACTATCTATTCATATTAAATTTATCCAAAACATCAGGAAAATTGGGCATTCTTCCTAGAGAAGTCCCCATGCTAGGAATTTGGTTTGCCAAAAGAGGTGACATATGAGCCCTTGGGGCTTGCACTCTCCTAGGAGAGACAGGTACTAAAGATACACAAGCCCGTACCCCTAGTGCCTGCTCCCCATGGTCATGTTTGAAAGAATGTTTCTATCTTTTCAGACTGGGACACCAGAATCTTGGTGTTTGCTTCCACCTTAACATAAGTAACTCATGATCTTTGGCTATGTATATTTTCCAACTTTCTGGAGCCCTAGAGTAGCTAAAAAGCATCTCTTTGATTCTACTGCCTCTACAGGATCAATTCCAGGTCATTGACCCTGAGCTCTTGGGCTCACTCATCTAGAAAGCTGTCTCTAGACCCCTGTACTAGTATGACCATACTTGGTCCTGTGTGGATAAAGACCTGAAGGACCTCCACTGTGGCCTCAAGGAGCTGAGAGAGGTGGGTAAGTGTCTACCACCTTACCAGGATTGCTAGAGAGGGTTTTGGAGGCTTCCCAGTCTAAAAGAGGAAGCACCTCCCAGGAAAAGCAATGTATAGATTGATTCTCAAAGAGCTAGGCAAATTCTACTACTGGAAAAAGCAAAGAAATGGTTTTTCTGGAAGGGAAACAAGATGAGCAAAAGCCTGGAGGCCTGCAGAGATTGGGTCATTGAACAAGAAGAGTTCAGGGAGGATTCAAAGCTAAAGAAAGAAACGGGGTCCAGATTCAGGGCCCTCTATCAGCTGGGAGCCTGGATTTTACCTTAAGGCACTGAAGAGACTAGGAAGGGATTGAAGCTCTTCCAGAATTCAAATTAGAGTTGAAGGTGATAGGAGCTGAGATCGGAGCAGAGAATACTCCACGGAGGGTAAGGAGAGTCCAGCTTCTAGGGACACAGACTGCCTGTCCTCTCACCATCTGCCCTTCCAGGATGTAACCCAGACTTTGCAGGCAGCAGGAGCTCAATGCTTGCTAAATCAACTTTG